GGGATAGTCATGAGGCTCCGGTTGAATTAAACATCACCCCGTGCCCTTGTTGATCGGGGCTGCAGGGCGTAGTCCCGAATAGTTAAAAAAATGTTCGGAGGCAGCTTGGTTTCATTGTGTACATTATTTTTTCATTTCGCCTTTCTACCCAGGAAAGCCTCGCTGAGAATAGAGACTTGTCATGATGGCCTTGCCAAGTTCTCTCAGTAGGGGATGATGATGTTGCTATGTGCAAACACAATCGAGTAAATTGTAGGTACGGTAATGTTTAGAATTAGGGTGTTTGGCCAATATTAGTTTCATTGCACGTGCCTTGTTTTATCTGTGCCCATGCAGAACAGGGGGACACAACATACAGACTTGCACACAGGAAGGTGCCCCAGTCAGGATTCGAACCCTGGACTGCTTGCTGAGGCATGAGCGTTACCACTGTGCTACCCTTCTAAACTTGTACATGCCACAGATGAATGATGCTGGTGTTTGTAGAGCTGAGTGGTATCAGCATTAACATTTTTTACAAATACAAGGTTTTCATTGTTGGCACAATTAAGATTCAGAATTGATCTCTGCCTGCCTACCTGATCATCTGCGCATTTCAATTTGAAATTGTGAACAGATATTTTTGCAGGTACAGCTTGGCTGGGTTTACATTTCCTAAATATACACTGGAATACCGGCTATGTACAAATCCACCGTGGGAATATTATGGTGTCAACTTCTCGATTATGTTTTTAAACATAAGAGAGAAAATATTGTGTCGAACATTTTGCGGGGGTTTTTAAACGAATGAACGCATCTCCCTCACGTAGGAAGTGAAATGTAAGTTGCCAAACGATTTCTTCCGCAATAGAAACACACATGACCTTCGAGCGGCAAACATGCATGGGGCAATACCGACCACAGAGATGGCATTTGGTGGCATTCAACATTTACATAACAAAGCATGTGCCTCACATTAATATTTCTACGAGACAACCGCTAAGTGGCACTGGTGCTATTTAATGGATCTTAGTGTGCTAACCCAAACTCCCAATACCGATGGGATGCTGCCGCATTGTAATGGTGAGCACACTTCGACTTTGAATGTGAAGGTCGCCAGTTCGATTCCCCCTCCCGGCGTGCCAGTTGACACTGGACAATTTTCGAAACTCCCCCAGGTCTCTCTCCAATATAATCAGTGTAAATTGGTACATTACAGTCAGTCAGAAGGGAAAGTTGTGTATCGTGAGGTGAAGTGTGAGTTTTTCTTCCACGTTATCCAATGATGTCTGGCCACCATGGACGAGTAGGCCCAATGCCCTCCACTACAGCTCTGTCTAGTGGAGGTCCTTCTCCCAGCAGTGATGTGAGCGAACAATTGCAGGGCTACACCATTAGCTTTTTTTGTCCACACTAAAACCCAATGCAACGCTTTAATAATCAAATGCTTACTCTATAAAGTCTACGGACGGGGAGTTTACACGTAAGCTTTGTGCAGGGTGCCATAGGCAATGATATCACATTAATAACCAGCAGCTTATTTATTTATTTGCTCATTTTGCTTTAATTTTCGCCCAGATATTGCGCAGCAATACCAGAGGCTGTTAGGGTCACTTAGCCGCGCAACATCCTCATGTTTACAAAGAGGTTTCTGCTAACCAACAGAGCCACCGCCGCACCTCAAGGGGGTCGGCAATTATACGTCAGGCACGGCAGCCCCGCTCTCACTCACGTGGGTGTGCGGCGTGCGCCTGCGGAGTGATTCAAGAGGTGCAGCCTAGGTCCGCGATTCCGTGTCTCTCACACTGTGCCGCTCAGCTTGCCTTCATTTGGATAGCATGCTTTCATCCAGCTGTACAATCTGCACGCAGAAACCCACTGCTAGATCAGTTGTTCCCCCTCCCCCTTCCCGCCCCCACCGTGCAGAGTCTGTCAGTAAGGTGACTTGGCCGTGCTTCATCGTGCTGGTCAGTGCGAGCTCGTAACGGTGGCGGTCGGGGAGGGGGGAGCATAGCAGCAGTACAGGGCAACAATGGATTTTGCTGCACTCCCACTACTCTCTGCCGTTCCCAAACGCACATAACTCCGGGACCCTACGCGCCCTACCGCCGGGTAGCACACCGTTGTTCGGGGTGGCACACGCGCGCTCTGTTGCACTGGCACGGCGATTCTCGGGAGCTCGCGCGAGCTGCTGCATCTTACGTAATGGGAAGGCAACCGCCCTTGGAGCACGGCGTCTTGCGCCAATTTGTTTCCGTCACGGGAAACAAAAGGCGGACGATGCATCTCAGTAACTTCACCGTGAACTCTTTGTTTAGCTGTCGTTAATATTCGCACGCCACGGCAATGTAAGAGCGCTCTATAGGCTGTGGGTCAATGACAAAACAAGGATGCGATGCGCCGCTGCATTGCTGCATACACTCTACACCTATAAGAGAGGCTAATATTAACTTAATGCTTACTAATATTGACTGTCCCAGTGAGTTTATGCATGTGTGCGTGTGAGCGCGTGCGTGCATGTGGAGCGGAAGTGTAGCGGTTAGCGCGTTGCGCTATGAACCCGGTGACCCGAGTTCGATTACCGCTCACTGCGAACACCAGTGACAATTATCTGAACCAGTCCTGCGCTTCCCCTAGGTCGACTCAGCCTGAAATGAGTACCTGGTGAGGTGTGAAAACATCGCCACTGGGGAGACAAAGGCGGCCAGACGTGGTGCTGAACACTTATCCCCTAGTGTGCCGTGCCAGCCTTCATAGGTGTTCCCTAACAGCACTTGTCTCTGCATATTCTTGTGTTTGAATGTGCTTGTGCATTTATAGCCTTCCACCCCATTCATGTGGCCTCAGAGCGCACCCAGCCTGGCACTAGCACTGTGGCACCATCACCGCCACTGAGTGGCGGTGAATATCAACCCTTGTTGTGGTTGTTGTGTACATTTACACCGACATGCAGTGGCACCACACACCGCTCTGCTCAGGACCTGCTGCTTGGGAGTTCGATCCCGACCCGAGGGTTGCGTCCGTGGTATGCGAGCGACTCCACCGAAACCTCCCCTAGGTGAACTCATCATTAATTGAGTATCTGGTGTGGAATACCACCTCTAGAAAGATAAAGGCAGCCGGGGTGGCACACGCGTGTGAGCACGGCATCGCTAAAGGTTGGCGACGCGAGCGAGGCAATGGCAGGAAGAGCTCTGTGCGCACCACCCCTAATATTTTAGGGCTCAAGGCATTTTATGCGTATGGGTCAGATTGCCTATAATATTTTATAATGCCACTGACAGCTTTGAAGAAGACTGCCAAATTGCATACACCTCACAAAGCCAGCCCCACAGTAAGTGTCTGCATACCTTGGGGTTGCACTCAGGGTGCAAGCAATCCTATTACACTTACATAATTGTTCAATTCATCTTGATGGGTTGGAACGTATTCGGTATGCAAGGTGTTATAAAAGTGTATGAGGACAAGAAAGGTTTTCCTTTTTTCATGACAAGTTATGTTCAATTTTCAGACCCAAGATTCCACCGTCAGAATCAGTTCCATTTTAAAACTGGAGAAAGTATTTTCGCAGACTAAAACCAGGTCAATCGTTGCATTTCAATATTTTTTCAGACGCAAGATTCCACCGTAAGAATCAGTTCCATTTTAAAACTGAAGAAAGTCTTTTTGCAGACTAAAACACGGTGATTGTTTGCTTCAAGAGCTATTACTGAAACGTGGTTACTTCGCGGTTTGAGAATGAGAGATATTTATACGCTCTCTGTTTAAAAATAAAAAAACTATACAAACATTCATCGGCAACAGACTTCACGCCTCTTTGTAAAAAAATAAAATGCCATCGCTGGTGAACATCATTTTCGTAACGAGACAGGTGGCCATTGATCCTACATGAGAGTGATTCAGTCAGGATTCCTGCTCCACCCCGCTGTCTAAAACTCCACGCAATACACAAGGCCGTACCCGTCCTTCTGAGATGCCTCTCCGCATTTCAATCAATGACACATTCGCAAGGTTTCTGTGCAGAGGTTAATTCTGTGCCAGTGACAAGCACCTCTCTCAAAGTATGAGGGCGCCGCGGTGGTGAGATGTTAACTTGATCGACTGGTATACAGGAGGTCGTGGGTTCGATCCCGACCCTGACACCTGTATATTTGGAGTTTGCAGGTCCTTCCTGTGGTTGCGTGGATTTTTCTCCGGATCCTCTGGCTTTTCCATCCGCAATTAGAATCAACGTGCGTTCACAGTATTTGGCCGCTATAAATTTCCACCTGATGATACTCCACTTCGTTGAGCGATCATCTGAGTCCAGGTCGCTTCTGAAGAAGAGCTATATAGCTTGATGGGCCTTAAATAGTTTAATTATGATTTTTGGCGCGTCATCCAAACGGTTTGCACTCCCCCTTCAATGTGATGTATGATTTAGTTGGGGCCACGCAATGTGCCTCGGATAGTTTCTACCCCTCGAGCGTTTGGTCACACTCGAGTGAAAGTTAAAAGTGCCAGGTGAAACAGTGCCCCCAAAATTGTGAGCGCTGGTCACCGGAATGGTGTTTTAATTGTCTATATTCGGAGCACATCGGTGACCATTATGAATACACAGATTGTGATGCTCACGATGTTTGGATTGAATTGCGTGAGTAACCGTCGGTTATCTTTAGACCTGTGCATGTTGTTTGTGATTGTTCGCCTATCTCCTTGGAGCCACGAGAGGCGGCACGAGATTCACGGCAATATTGAACACAAAAGTAACTGATCCTGGAATTGATTTGCGATCCCCCAAACCGAATCGTAACAATCCATTTAACCACCAGGAAGATGTGGGGGGGCGAATCCTGATACCGCCCCACCAGAGTATTTCAAAATTCATATAAATGTCGACCCTATCATTGTTTTACCCATAATGCTGGGCAACAATGCACAACGAGCTTGCCGACTGTAGACGTCGCATTGCCCCGTTGACGCGCACCAAGTTCCCGGCCACGCTCTGCCCGGCCGTGTGTTGCCACGGCGGTGCGGGTTACCTGTCTCGGTGTCGGACTTGTTGTTCTCGTGCTCCGTGTCGGTAAGCGTGAGGACGGAGTTGGCGCGGCTTGGCGGGTAGGGGTTGCCGTCCGGCTTCCCGTCGCGGGCGCGCCCGCCCCGGGGCTCGTGCTCGTAGGGCAGCGTCTCTTCCGTCTCCGTGTCGGAGTCCGAGGCAGCGACGTCGGCTCCGTAGCTCATCCGGGCCAGCCTCACGTCCGGCGTGTACCCGCTGTGCTGCAGCTGTGGGCCGGCCAGGAAGGGAAACAACAACAACAACAACAACGGCGTGAACTCAACGTCACCTGCGTAGGCTTTCCCGGTGGCGCTGCGTAATGCTCCGGTGTGTTTCACGGTGGTTGCGAACCGCGTGTTTTTCGGCACGAAGGTTGCCGAAGAAGCTCCCAGCATGTGGAGTGAACTGTCGGGGAAGGGGCGGCGGAGATCATTGTGCCGAGCAATGCGGGCCACAACCCGAAAACCCCAAAACACGTCGGGGAGCGCTGCCTCAAGGATGAAAATGTATAGAATATGTGATGTTTCACCTCCTTTCGCTTACGTGGCAGAGTTAGACAGGCAAAAGCGTTATAACCACCTGCCTTTTTTATGTTAAATTTCCTGCGACCAAATCACCATGAAAGCATCCGATCTAGTCCGATGCCAGAAGCCAAGCAGGGGGTGAACTTGGCTAGCACTTGGATAGGCGAGCACCGGAGCCCGCCACCCCCGTTGGGCACGTGGGGCTGCGGGGCGAGAGACCACAGCGTCCGTGGTGGCTGACGAAGGATCCAGCCCATTACCTGCTGCCCTGGGTCGCAGACGACGCCTGCCATCATTGGGTCGCAGACGCCGCCCGTGGTTCTCTGGGGGATGGGCTCGCACACGCCGATCTCACGCAGGCAGTACTCCACGCCTGCACGCGCACGGTCACAGGCACACGACACGATAACGACTGACACAGCGTCTAAATGATGATGATAGTATGGTGGTGGTTGACTTCGACTTGTAAACGCGCACACTTTTTGCTCGCTCTCGAAGAGAGAGAGTGAGATACCGTACGAGGAACCACAAGCAGGAAAAAGCAGCAAAGCGATGAGCTGGTGTCAACAATTGTCCAAGCTCTGCCATCCTCTTTATGTAAGGTTATTATCGACCAATGAATGTTTATATGTCGGAGGAAACTGGAGCTCCCAGGGGAAATGTACCCATGCGAGGGGGCTAACCTCTATTCCTCACAGTCGGAACAGGTGGAGTCCACATGTTTGCTGTACCACATTCTCCTGCCATGCCAGGGTATAGCACCTCGACGCCCACGAGAAGGGAGTATCACAACATCGGTGTGATTCATCAACCCTCACTGCCTCCACAGTGTTGGATTAGACAGGGGGAGCCTCTAATTGGGCCCTCTCGCCACTGCCGGTAGAAGGAGGCTGTTCTGCCAGCAGTGGCATAAGCAAGCAATTGCTGGGCTGCACCTTTGACGTTGATACCTTATTTGTTGTTGGGCCCTCGAGTAGTTGTATGCCAACATTTACAACAATAACAAAAACCCTACGTAGCTGTCAATGGCCACGTTTTAAGTTACACCCACCGAGATTAAAATAACAATTGCATTGATATTATAGCCAAAATATAACAAACACCTCAAAGTGCAGATTATTTAGCCTTGGGGACCCCAAGAGGCAACTTTGTCCCAAAATTAATGCATCTCAATTCTCTGCACACAACACAAGGCGAGCTCGTTATTCGATCACAGCGGGGAATACGGGGGATTTCATTTACGCGAAAGCAGAAACTTAGAGGGAGAGAAGGGTGTTGCGAAGAATTTGTTTTCTTCACTCGACATGCAGTAGAGTGGTGGTGCAGCAGTTTGTGCACGGCGCTACGATCAAGGCAACTTGAGTTTGATCACCGGCTACCGGCAAACGATATCTGCACCAGTCAACCCTCCCTTCCCAACACTCCTCTCCCACTGCACGCTCGCTCTGAGATGCAGAGACAACGTTGAGGTTCATAGCTAGTGGGCGGGAGAAGTAAGTTGGCGGCGCCCGCCCCAAGATCTCTCTCTGCATCACGTTCTGTGACCCTCACGGGAATTGCTAATTGTTAAGATTAACCTAGCGACCAGCAATGGGTCATGGAAGCAAAGATATCTGGACCAGTCTGCCTCCCTCCCCTGGCCCTACCCCCCTAGACCACCCAGACGCGGGGGGGATGGGGGGGAATCAGGAGTGGCATAGTGGCATGAGGAGGCCTTCACCCAGCAGTGGATTGACAAAGAGGTCTACATGTAACCCAATGTACGCGTCACACACATGGTGTACATATGGGCACTGCTGAAAATGTACAAGAGCGCACACACGCAGACACACGTACGTACGCAAAGTGTAGGGACTCCTTTTTCTTTTTTTAAACCAAAGTGGCACTGCTTTAGAAATTGCGGCCGAGATGAAGCGAGAGGTCTAAAATTGACAGCAACATTTTCACAGCCCATCCTCCAAGGGACATTCGGGCACACAGACGGTGTCAATCATGCGGCGCGTGCCCACTTCCCCGTGCACACACACCGGGGACAATATTCCATATGAAGGTGTCATAGACTGTAATTCACAAAAGAACCCCCACCCTCCCACCACCTCCCCACACACACACACACACAAAAGAGGATGCGATTTGAATGCCGCATCCCCACGATCAGAGTGGCTTTGTGGCTCAAGTGCACCCGGATGCCACACCGCCGCAATTCGCCTGGCACCTCTGGGGTTCTTGAAGAATGCTGCATCTCACCATCGAAAGGAAGGAAGCTCAATTCACGGTGGAAGCTGCTGAAGGATCTGCTGTGCAGTGGAGGATGGCAGCCTTGACGCTGTTGTCTGTAGCCATTAGAACACAGCGCAGGAGTGCAGGGAACTGCTGAACCGACACCGAATTTGGAATCGGCACAATTTTGAGAGGCCCTATTGCACAAGAGTAGCAAAAGAAAAAAGAGCTTACTGTCTGACCAAGTGATGGATGTATGCTCAAAGCCAGAGTTCGGTATATTGACGACGCAGCTGGCCAGGCATCTCTGCGGTTTACAGGAAGGTGCATTGGGAAAGGCTGCTCCATAAGATGTACGAGCTTGAGTGGATCATGACCAATGATGATGATGATGGCGAGCAGAGTACGCGAAGTTGCAAACAGCATCGCTTCAAGCAAGATTTCAGAGCCGTGATGTTTGCCAAATTCAATTCAGCCCCCCCGTGTCCTATCCAATCACACACAGCGCCCCACATCCAAGACCACCGATGTATTTTCCCTACTCACGATCTTTGGCGTTACCTTAGCCCCCTGTCTCTTGGCCACCAGTGCCACCCACCACTCATTAGTGGTGTCATCTGTCCTGGTGTTCCGGGGATTGTTTTATCTTTTGTTTGTTTAGGTGCTGCAGTTTCTGTCAGCTGCACAACAACAATAATAATAACAATACACCGCTCGAGACGAAGGATTTACATGTGGTTCACATCCTCGGCTGGCATCGCGAGTTCATCTTCTTCTTGCTGTGGTATGTCCCGGTTGTTTGCAACTTAGAGCAGCGCTCACCCTCCCCTCAACAGCGTTGCGATGTCAATTAAAGCCCCCAACTTGTAAAAAGGTTCCACCACCGATGGTGAGGCATGTGTGTGGGGAGCGGTGGTGCAGCAGTTAGCGCACCGATGGTGAGGCATGTGTGTGGGGAGTGGTGGTGCAGCAGTTAGTGCACCGATGGTGAGGCATGTGTGTGGGGAGCGGTGGTGCAGCAGTTAGCGCACCGATGGTGAGGCATGTGTGTGGGGAGTGGTGGTGCAGCAGTTAGTGCACCGATGGTGAGGCATGTGTGTGGGGAGCGGTGGTGCAGCAGTTAGCGCACCGCGCTGCAAATCTGGCTACCTGGGCTCGGTTCCTGCTCACGGCCAGCATCATTTACGATTATCTGAAGCGGTCCTGGGCCTCCCCTAGGTCGACTCTGCCTCAAATGAGTACCCGGTGCGGTGTGTAAACATCGCTACTAGGGAGACAAAGGCGGCCGTGCGTGGTGCTGGCCACCCATCCCCTCGTGTGCCTTGCCGGCCTTCATAGGGGCTCGCTAACAGCACTTGCCCCTACAGTCTGTCAAGGCTACACGGGTGATCTTTGTCTTTAACTTTGCTTGCTGCCCAAATGGTCAGCTTGGACCAGAGGGGAACAAATTTAATGTAGGCCGCAGTAAGCCAGAAGAAGTGACTGCACAAAAGGCAATTCTATGGATTAGCAAGCAGCGCAGGATCAATGAAAAACAGTCCATGAGCAGGCATCTATCGGAGACCGAGAGCAAGGCATGGGCATACCTCTGCAGACGTTACATTAGTTTACTGCGCAAAGGTACATGAATCTGAACATGACACTAATGCAGAAGCTTGATTTAATGCGCGTTTTAAAATATCTTCCTCAGAATGATTTATAATAACAGAGTGCCGCCAAATAATTAACCTCTGATGGAATCCAGTTGATCTTCGGTTTTGTGTGTGCGTGTAGAATGTCTGCTCTGCGTGTGGTGGAATCATTCTGCAGGCAAGGGAGAGCTCACTCCGTGCGTTCTGCATTACGGACGCTCACTGTGGAGGCCAGGTGATTTTTTTGTTGCCATTGCAGAGGACGGGGAGGTCTGACAACAGCATTCATTCTGCATCTGAAGCGCCGCCAAGACAGCAAAACCCTATTACGTTACATTACCTCATTAGCGCCGCAAAATACAAAGCGTGCGAGCGCCGCCTCCGTGCGGCATTTAAGCAACGAATGTCCCCGAGAGAGACCGTGGACCCCGGACAAGTCACACACTTTAGATTTTGATACGGTGTCTCGCAAATAAAAAGACCCTATGCTGCGACCAGACATTTTCCATTTTGCAGATGCGGGAAAACTGCACCGCCAGATGCAGGGTCAAAAGTCAAAGTTTAGTTCTTTGTTTTTTTTCGTCAAAATGTCAAACTGCCTGCGTGCGTGCGTGCGTGCAGGTTCACCATTACGTGCGACGTTCGCGTTTAATGCGTAAACAATGCCCCTGGACTTCCACAGGAGAGAGCGCATCGTGGAACTCTAAATATTGCACGGGCACCACATCCCAACTCCATTTCCTTGGGTCATTAGAATGCTATCCTGGGATGCGCAAGGAGTTCAACATACATACATACATTCACATTAGTGGGAATAATATGCTAAACATTGGTACGGGAAGCACAACACGTAATTCTACTGTGGTCATGTTGGTAACGAGTGACATCAGTGGCGAGCAATATCTGATTTGACCGTCGGGGCCACATTCAGCAACCTGTACTGACCAAAGGTGGGCGAGTGTGGTCAAACAAACCCCAAGGGTGACACGGGATAGAGAGGCCTTCATCCACAAGTGGACTGACAAAAGGCTGTGAATTATTTTATCCCCTACACACTGATAGAAAATTAATAAGAGCCCCCAGTAGCACTGAGGTCACAATTTCAAACCATGGACCACATAGCAACACCATCGCCCGCTCCGATCATTCGCCTATGGGTCTTTAGTGTGAGTCTATGGTGTCGATGTGAGTCCTACGAACAACTATGTGAGTCTACATCTCAAACCATGCACTACATAGTAGCACCACTAGCCACTTCTATCGTTCACAGCAATATCAGATATTTACAATGAGGCAACGTCTGAAACCATTTACCGCCTTGGTCACCAAATCCCAAAATGATCGCATGAACGTTGCCGATTAACTCGACCGCTATATAAAAATAAATAAGACTTTAGGTGTGTGAAAGACCCGTTCTTTATTAACAAAGAAACCTGCAAGCTACCATTGAACGTTACTGTCATGTGGAGGAAATGTGCATTTAGGTTACTGTATGTGCACTGAAAAAGTAATGTGCACTCTT